CGAGACGTTCGGCGGCCCTTCCTGACGCCATGTTCGACGCCACCTGGATCATGTTGACAATGTGATAGGGCACCCAAAGGCCAACGAAACAGACCACTATGGCCACGATGAGCTTCTCGGTCCGAGCCCCTTGTCTTCTCCTCACTCCTCTGAGGCGTATTAAGATGGCGGAATAACACCCTACGATGATGGTGAAGGGGATCACAAAGGCCACCACCGTTTCTAAGGTGAAATGGAAGATGGCCAGGCCTGGCCTGGCATGGCAGGGTTCACAGATCTGATGCCCCAGAAAGGGATCCTTCAACACTTGGCGGAAAAGGAAAGCCGGGATGGATAACAAAATGGCTGCCAGCCAGATGCCTGACAGGATCTTGATGACCAAGTTCTTTTTGCGAATGGCTTGAGAGAAGTAGGGCTGGTTAACGGCGAGGCACCGGTCCACGCTCATGAGGGTGATGATGAAGATGCTAGCGAACATGTTGACGCAGCAAAGGTAGTATACGCCTTTGCAAATGGCCACACCGAATAACCAGTTCTTGAAGATTAGGAAGACGATGAAGAAGGGCGTGAGGAGCAACACCACCCCGTCAGCCATTGCCAAATTAAGCACCAGTATGCAGGTGACCGAGCGGTGGCTTGGCTTCATCTTCCAAAGAATGCTCCAGATGACAAAGAAGTTCCCGGGGAGCCCTATCAGGGCAGCCAAGAGTAGGAAGACGATCCCCGCCACGCTGGATGTCGGAGAACTCAGAAGGGTGCTGTTTCCAGAGGTTTGGTTGCAGGGGTTCATGATGGCCATGGATGGAAGGGACAAGGACGCCCTGACAGGAAAGAGAAAGGCAAGGAGATTTAGACACAAGATGGCGGAATCTGCTTTCCATCTCCCAGTTCTATGAATGGAATACATTAGAATAATTTTGGCTCTCATGAAGGCATTGTGCTCGCGTTTGTTCTGCGTTAGCCTTCTTACATTTTCTGTATCACCGTTTATCTAAGGCATTCAGGTAGGGTTGCCAGCCTCCAGGTGG